GCCAGGAACCTGAACACAACTGCCTTCTCTATGAAGAAAATGTACTCAGAGCAATTTTTTTTATTGTCATTGTGAAGACAGAAGTAGTGCTGAAAAGAGGGTCATCTACAACTTTGGGAAACAATGGCATTATTTGGGTAAGCAGAGATTGGTAGGGCATTTGCAGCTTTGTTAACAGAATGGGTTTTGTGGTGAAGAACAACTATAAAAATGTATCACTGGCTGAGCGCAGAGGCTCACACCTGTAATCCCACCACTTTGGGAGGCCAAGGTGGGCGGATCACCTGAGGTCAGGAGTTCCAGACCAGCCTGGCCAACATGGCGAAACCTCGTCTCTACTAAAAACACAAAAATTAGCTGGGCATGGTGGTGGGCACCTCGGGAGGCTGAGGCAGGAGAATTGCTTGAACCCGGGAGACAGAGATTGCAATGAGCTGAGATCATGCCACTGCACTCCAGCCTGGGTGACAGAGCGAGACTCCATCTCAAAAAAAAAAAAAAGAAAAAAAAAATGTGTGTGTATATACATACACACACACGTATATGTGCGTGTGTGTGTGTGTGTATATATATCCCATGGATAAATTATATCTTGAATGCTGTTTGAAGGTAATAAAAAACTATTACACTGTTTAAATGTTTCAGTTAGGTGTAGAATCAGTTTTCTGTTCTTGGGTATAGATAGCTTGTTCCCAGGTATTTTCAGAATCCTTTTGTAGGTGTAAAAAGAATTTTGGTCATTGATTTCATTTCTTGCTTTAAACTTCAAAAGGACAGTAGATTGTACTATTTTTTTTCCCTCTACTTATCAACCTACATGTAGGAAAGTAATAACTGAATTATGTGCAAAGCATAAGTAAAATTCTCTAGAGAAGCAATTTGCCTTAAGAGTCTTAAATTGAATTAAAATTGTTGCCTATTCTCTCAGCTATTGATATGGCCTCATAATTGACACATTATCCCTAAAATGATTTTGGTATTCTACATTGATTCAAACACTCTGATTCATTTAGTTGAAAAGTCCGTGTCTTCCCCAGAACCATTAGACAAAGTGCAGACTTGTTTCTCTTTAATTTCTGGTCATTTAGAAAGTTTGCCCATTAATAATAAAAACAAAATAGTTGAAATCATTGTCTAAAAAATGGATCCCAAGTTCTTATTCAGAACTGGACTTGGAACAAAAAACATATACAACCTGGAGTGCTCAAAGTCAACATTAATTCAATAAAATACAAATATCTTAGTTTGGTTTCTTTGGGTTGCAAGGAAAAGAACCTTAAGTAAAAAGGGGACTTTATTAAGGTTACTGAGTTAACCTAAGGACAAGAAGTGAGGCCGAGTGACTGGAAATCCATTTGGATTTAAGTCTTTGCCACTTTGCATATCTTCATCATTTTTCTTTCTTTGCAGACAGGTGGACTACAGCTGCCACAAAGCAAAATTTTTATGTCTCCCGTGAAATGACCTTGAGGGACTGAGCAGCATGTCTGTTCAAAGACACAGAAGAGAGACTAACTGACCTAACCTGGGTCATGTGACTAGTTATGGCTAGAGGGTCAGAGTCTCCTAATCAGGTTGCAACGCCCACTCCAGGGAAAAGGGACATTCTCTGAATTGGGCTGGGAGACACTCAGAAAGTGTCTATTAAAATGCAACTTTCGGCCGGGCGCGGTGGCTCAAGCCTGTAATCCCAGCACTTTGGGAGGCCGAGATGGGCGGATCACGAGGTCAGGAGATCGAGACCATCCTGGCTAACACGGTGAAACCCCGTCTCTACTAAGAAATACAAAAAATAGCCGGGCGAGGTGGCAGCGCCTGTAGTCCCAGCTACTCGGGAGGCTGAGGCCGGAGAATGGCGTGAACCCAGGAGGCGGAGCTTGCAGTGAGCTGAGATCCGGCCACTGCACTCCAGCCTGGGCGACAGCACGGGACTCGTCTCAAAAAAAAAATAAAAAAAATAAAATGCAACTTTCACCAACACATTCCCCAGACCTCTTCCATTAAACGTGTTTATCTGCATCAAAGGGAAATATGGTTCATTTCTGATACGTCTCTGTTCACTTCTTCACATTTTATGCTGCAATCACAAAGACTTGCTTGTCATCCCAACTACCTGTTCGCTACTTACCACCCCTACTACCCTACACAATCAAATAATTTCTTGCCTAAATTCCTGTGGTCCTCTGTGCTTGTAATGATCTTCTAATCCTTAGTATCATTGCTTCTAGGAGACTTTACTGGCTCTCTTTACCTTCCTAGGCTAGTTAGCCTCTTTCTTTTAGGCATCGTAACATTATGCACATAAATCTCTATCATTGTCCAGCTCCATTGTTTTGAGATTTACTATCTAGTTTCTGACATCTTTATAACCCCAGACATTGCAAGCCTGGCCTACCGTGGGAGGCCAGGGTGAACGAATATACCCTGAAAGTTTCCTTTTAGCTAATAATTGACTCTCTAAAAGAAAGTGTATCATTACATAAAAAGTATTGTCCTCCGGCGCACGCCTGTAATCTCAGCACTTTGGAAGGCCGAGGCGGGCAGATCACGAGGTCAGGAGTTCGAGACCAGCCTGACCAACATGGTGAAACCTTGTCTCTACTAAAAATACAAAAATTAGCCTGGCGTGGTGGCGCGCGCCTGTAATCCCACCTACTCAGGAGGCTGAGGCAGGAGATCGCTTGAACCGGGGAAGTGGAAGGTTGCAGTGGGCCGAGATAGTGCCACTGCACTCTGGCCTGGGCGACAGAGCCAGACTTGTCTCGGAAAAAAAGGTATTGCCTGCATAAAAACCTTACAATTGTTAACTTGTCAAGGTTCTAGTAGCCAGGAAGTTCTAATCAAACTCGGCCCCAGGACTGACTTGTCAGCACGCCCCTTAAGAAACTTGTCTGAGAAACCTGCTGTTTACCTGGTGCCCTAACCAGTTTAATTTTCTTTTAAAAGTTCTGCTGGGCTTCTCCTTCTCTCCTTTTAGATGCAATTTTGATCTAGAGAAGTAATGGTCTGAGCATCAGTTTATGAAATTATTTTATTTTTCTGCACATAAACATTATTTTTCAAAGGCAATTTCGTTAAGTACATCCTGCAGCTCTGCAGACTTTCAACAGCTTTAAAAGGTTAGGCGTTTGAGGTATGTTCGCCTTGACTTTCAGTCCTCAAGACATAGATACATTTTTCTTAGTCTTAAAGCTCATGTCTGCACTCTAGTCCTAAAGGATTTGACTTTATAATTCTCACCTTAGCATGAAATGTGCTTCTCTTTCTTTCTTTCCCCACCCCGCCCCACCCCCTTTTGACATATCGGGTAGGGAAGCTCTGGCAGATTCTCAAGAAGAATTTTGCAAATGGTTGACTTTTGTTCATCTCAGGTTTTGGAGGGAGTGGATAAAAGAACATTCCCTCAGATAATGAGTTTTAAGCTTAATTCCTTCCAGAGCCGAGGGAAGAAAAAACTACAGCAAGACCACCTTGAGTACCTTGGGAAGGGCAGCCCCGCGATCCCTAATAAATGAATTAGCATCTCAAGGAGGAGATCACTGCGGGGCTGATATTGATCAGGGTCAGCCGGCGTGTTTGCCAGCGATTGTTTGGGGGTGGTTAATTGAGTGTCAGTCTCGGCCAGTGTCGTCTCGCTGGCGCCGGGTGCTTTTGGATTTGCTAATTTTCGTTAAGTGTCTCTAGCCGGCTACTCGTCCCGTGTACCCGGGAGAACCTAGCGGCTCCTAACTGATCAACAGTCGGTCTGTCTGGGCTTTATTGATCCCCTGGCTGGCAGCTCGAGGCGGACACGCTAAGGGGGTGGGGGACGAAGGCTGAACGCAGACCTCAGCGCTGGGCCGCCTCGTCCAGGTTCCCACCCGAACGCTCTTCCGCCACCTGCACAGGCCGGAGCGTCGTCACTCGCCCCTGGGGGCTCCAGAAAACGCAGTGCGGCCGGGGAGGACCACCACGCAGCCCCCCTGCGTGTTTTGGGGGGCACCCAAAAGAAGCTCCAGGCTAGGGGACGCTGACCGCCCGAGACTGAGCCGTCAGGGTCTCGGAGGCGGGTTCCCGAGCGGGTACCGGGGCTGGGCTCCCCCGGAGCCTCGCGAAGGTCATGGACGCGCAGGCCTCCGCAAGGGG